ACACCCGTCTCCTCTATATATCAGTTAGCTATATTTACATAAATAAAATAATGAATTTTCTTATAATACATGGTAAATTATTTTGTACAGGCATCTAAGTTAAATATTTTTGTTCTGATATCAAAAGCACTAGATACCCATGAATAGAAATTTTAGAGAAAAAGCCTAGAAGGAATTTTAAAAAGAAAAACAGCTACAATTAATACCACCATTTAAAGATTACCACAATTAAGTTTTATGCTGATACAATATGGAAGATGTATTTCTTGATTCTTTTTTTAAAATTTTTAAAATATATTTCTTACATCATTTTTCATTTTTGCACAATGTATGCATTTTCATCTTGATTATATTTCCCATACAATTGCACCCCCTTTATTTTGACCCCAATCCCTTCTCTCCTTGCCCCTCCACACTCCCACCCCCCCTTAGTGTGAAAAATACCAGATGGTCTCACTCATAGCAGGAGTTTAGAAAACCTAAATAAGGGACCAGGAAAAAGAATAACTATAATATTTCTTCATTCTTAAAGCTAATGAAGTTTAACCTTTCCTTCCTATTTGGCAAATTAACGGATAAGTTTCCTATTGAAACAGTTTATTGACATCATGAAAAAAGAATTTTTTATTTTGAATGTTTGTTTTCTGAACAAGATTAAGAGAAAAATACATAATTTATGTACCTCCTACTGGCATAGTACAATATCTATAGGCCCTGGTCTTGGGTATATCTCTTGTTTACTATCTCCTCAATTTCTACCATTGTTATAAAGATTGCTCCATTAATTAATAGTTCTTTTTGTATTTGAAAGGGACATATTCTTTGACAATAAATTCAATAAATTCTGTTCATAACCTTAATTGAATTTTTGTTCTCATCAGGATTTCCTTCACTTTATTTGGATTTTTGTGAGATGAATCTTGAATGCGCATGAAAAGAAATAATTATACCTTTTTTATTTCATCCAGCTTCCCTTCATGCATAGCCTGAAATTACAATTCTTTACCCAACCTTCAATTCTACTTTATAATCAGAATTCATATTCTCTTTGTTTTTCTGTGATAATTCAGGTTGCCACGAGACCCTGACCAATCTCCCATTTAGTACATTTCAGTATTATTATTGTGCTTTTCTCCCCACCTTGATATATGATCATTTTCTTCTATCTGTGTTCCTTTCTTTCTCTTTCATTATTATTCTCAAAATACAATTTGTAGCTTCTTTAGCCATATTTCTGTTGCTACGTTGTCCTCACAGTTTCCAGCAACATTTTATACCCATACAGGCAGGATATGTGTAACGGGTTGGGACAAACAGTGTGAGAATAGTGGTAGTCACTTTGGCCAACCTTATTACAGAGCTCTGATCAATATGGTGTGGATAGGGTGGCTTGGCAATAGTAGCAACCAGTATTTAACTGCATTTTATGTAATATAGAATTGTTTTAGCTGTTATTTGTGCAAGGAGGGAAAGTTACGTTATGTACCCATCTAATAAGCAAGTCACAGTGTGAATTCCAAATTAGGTCTTGAACGTCTAGACTCAAGGGTCTAGCTTGTGTACATGTATACTATGTATATTATCATATATGTATATTTTCATGTATATATATGTATATTATCAATCATGATATCTGCAAATTCCTATAGTTTTATTTCTTCTTTCCCAATTTGGATTCATTTTATATCTTTCTCTTGCCTAATTGCTCTGATTAGAACCTCTCATACTGTGTGGAATTGTAGTGTTGGAGATCTTTTCCTTTCAGCATGTTGAAAATGTCATAGCATTCCCTTTTGGTCTATAAGATTTCTGCTGAGAAACCTCATGATAGTATTTTATAGGTTCCCTTCTATGTGGATTTTTGTTTTTCTCTGACTACTTTAAGGGTTCTCTTTTTATCTTTAGTTATTTCCATTTAATTATAATGTGTCTAAGTGTACATTTGTTTGGGTTTGCTTTGTTTGGAACTCTTTGAGTTAACCAGATCTGGATGTACTTTTCCTTCCCTGTTGGGGCAAGGTCTTAGCTACTTTTTCAAACAGGATTTCTGTCCCCTTTTTCTCTCCTCTGGAACCTCTGTGATAGGCATGTTGTTCCTCTTGCTGTTGCCCCTGTAGTCTCTTATCTTGTCTTCATTTTTCTTTTTTTAAAAAAGATTTATTTATTTATGCATACAAGAACTGGAGTACAGGCCAGAGGGGTGTGTGTGTGTGGGGGGGGCACTGAGAGGATTCACCAGAGACAGAGTAGGGAACAGAACAGGCAGATCTACTGAAATACACTGCTGAGAGAAGCGGTGGGTGAGCCAGGAGAGGTCTGCTGCGCCATGTGGGTTGCTCCCTGACTGGGGATCGAACTCGTGCTGCAGTAGCTGCGGATAGCTTCACAGGTTGCGTCTCAACCACTTGCGCCACTAAGGAGGCCCCAATGTCTTCATTTTTCTTAAATCTTTTTTCTTTTTGCTGGTCTTTTTGGATGACTTTACTACTCTGTCTTTCATCTTGTTGATTCATTCCCTTGCCTTATTGAGTCTATGGTGAGGCCCTTTGTTATTGTTGTTGTTGTTTTTTAATTTCAACTGTTACATTCCTTATGTCTGTGATTGCTATTTGGAACTTTTTCATATTTTCTCCTTGTGTTTTTTGTTTTGTTTGTCTATTCTCCTAATTTCAGTAATCATAATCAATACTGTTGCTTTAAAGTCTTATTCTGGTCATTTAATTCTGTGGCATTAGGGATTTTCCCTAGGGTGTTGTCATTATCCATTGATTGGGGAGAACTCCTCTGCCTCCTGATTGTGTTTGATGCTCTATGATTATTTCTTTGGATTAAGCTAGATTGCTTTCCTTCCCAGTCCTCCTGTGACCGTATTACTTTAGAATGGCAAATCTAGGGTGTTGGTCTTGGATACTGGGTTTTCTGTTATTGTATCAGTAGAAACTTTGTCACCAATCAGAAGTTGACTGGACCTCACAAATAAGCATGGGGTACTGGCCTGAAGACCCTACCTGTGGGGTAAAAACCAGATATGTTGTGGGGGAAGGTTGCTGCAATAGATTACCGTGCAAAAACCTATCTTGATGCTGCTATAGCCACTTGAGATAAGGGAGGGATCTCTAATCATCATCTGTCAAGGCAGAAAAATACCAGTGCTTTCCCAGAAGGCCCAAATGGCAACTGACCCTTCTGTTCTGATCTAGCAGGTTTTGCTGGCAGTACATTTCCACTGAGGTTCTGGTTCAAGCAGTATGGCAAGAGGCTGTGAATTTGGGTCATAGGCAGTTACCATGAGAAGTTACAGATTACATAGTAGTTAGGCTGTCCATATGCCTGACAAGCCCAGACAGGGTGGGGCTGGTGCTTCCTGGGACCTTCACACTAGATGCTAGCAGCTGCAAGTGGTCAGACCAGTGCCCCACCCAGCAATCTATGATCTCTCTGGGAGGCCTGCACTTATACTGCCGCAGTATGCTAGGAGCCACTGGAAGCTCTGAAAGTCCAGGCAGGAGAGGAGTAAGAGTCTTGCAGAACTGCCTACTTAATTGCCAGCAGTCTATAGTAGGTGGTGCTGAACTGGCCATGGTGTATTAGTTGTTCAGAAAAGCCTTGCAAGTCTGGGCAAGGAAGAAGGGGGTGCCGTTTAGAACCATCAAATTATCTGCCTGCAACCCCAGGTATCTTAGTTCCAGGTCCACCCAGCAGTTATCGTGATTCAGGGAGGCAGGAATGCAGTGCTTGATGTTTAGTAGGCTAAGAGCTGAGGGGAACCCTCCCCCCACACACAATTCCAGTATGTCAGAGTGGAGGACTGGGTGCCTTTCGGGACTTCTAAGATAGCTGCTAGTAGTCCAAGGAATACTGACTCAACTAATGTGCAGTAGTGTTCTTTTGAATGGGCAGTGCTAGCCCATTTTTAGATCTAGGGAACTCCCAGAGTTCAGGCAGAGGAGGGGGTGTTGCCTTTCCAAATGCCAAGCTAGGTGCCAGTGGCCCCAGATATTTCAAGTCCATGTTCACCCAGCAGTCAATCTTCATTATAGTAGACAGCGCTCTTCCAGTTGTAGTGGATTAGCAGTTGAGGGGGAAGTAGGGCAGGTTTTGTAGATTGTAGAAGTTGAGGGTTGCTGTGCTAGGAACAAGCTTCCCTGTTTCTCCTAGGGAAGGGGGTGGGGCTCTGAGAATTCCCAGGGATTCAAAATCCAACCACTGCCTCCAGTTTCAGCAGGGGTGGGGTGTGTATCCTCCCTGCTCCATATGTGCAGTAATTCTAGAAACATGTGCTGCCCCCCATCCATACTTTACTCTCTGTTCTGTGCTCCTGAGTGACCAACAGCTGTTGTGCATACTGCCACTGCTATTCTCAGCTCTACCCTCCTTCTCCTGACTCTGAAGATACCACATGCTTTTTGGCCACCCACATTCAATAATGCAGGTATGTGAGTAATCATCTGACCTCCAGTGATGTTGATGGAAGATGTATGGGATATTAAACCATTTTCTGAATGTACTTGCTTCATCATGTTTTCCAGGCATCCAGCCTTTTGATATGTCTACATTATAGACTCTACCTCTTAAGTTGAAATAAAAACACCCAACTCTTTCCCCTCTCCGGAAGCAGATCTCCTGTGAGGGTCACACCAGCCAGTGCTATTCTATATTTTTTTGGACAGGTGAATATATCTTATATGGAATTTATTTCTTATGGATTGGGGCTCTCAAATATTTCAAAACACACGTACACATGGAAGATGGGAAAGGAAATTAGAGAGCAGCTCTGTTTTGTTCCTGAATGTCATCTGTATAGCTATAGAAGAATTTGCCCAGGGTTCTCACTGCATTTTTGCCCTGACACTGTTATTATGAATAGTATTATGACTCTAGATTCACAGATTAGAGTGTATGATACTAAAATACTATTGCTTAACTCCTTGCATATGTTATTTGTCTACAGTTATTTCAGGATGTAGCTATTTAAGGTTTAATTTTCTTTCAAAACTCACGTTTTGGGCTTGATATGATCCTTCTTTAGCCAAGAACTCATATAATTGGATAGCTGCTGTTATGTTTTGCATGCCAAAATTTCCAAATAGCAAAGCATCAGCCATTTTCTCCATAGCTTTCAAGTTTCCCATGTCAGCTGCTTTGGCAAAGAAAATGTAGGCTCTGTTTCAAAAATATGAAGTTAGAAGTTTGATTATCTAAAAAAGAAATTTTCTGTTCCCTTCTTTGTGCTACTTCTAATGTCTTAAGACCCAATTATTATTGCTATTAACAATACAGCCTTGCTGAAGTTCATTACATATATAAATCAGCAGATTATTTTCATTCCTAGATCAGTCTAATGTTATGGTTTCAAATATACTTGATAAAACATAAAACTATAAAAAGGAAACATATACAGGATGCATTATGCTTCATGCTAATGCTCCAAATGAAGTGGAAAATTGAGGCACTTGTCCTTAAATAGTGAATTATCTTATGATAATCCACATTATTTATATTTGTTTTATAAAATGAACTCTGACATATATAACAACATAATCAAAATCAACCCAAAAATAAACAAAACTGAAATGTCAGATACTGAAACTTACTATCAAGAGAACAATGGTAACTTTATATTCCAAAATAACTTTCTAAAACAGAACCCAATCTTCAGCACAACAAATCCAGTCCATGTAAAAAAACAACAACCAAACAACACCTTTTATCATGATTAGGGTAGCAGATTCTAACTACCTGGCCTCAAATCTTGTCTCCATACATTATATAACTCCTCTATACCTCTTTCATCTATGGAATCAGATTAATAATAGTGCCTACTTAATAGAATTGCTGGGAAGATTTGATGAATTAATCCAAATGAAGTATTTGGCATAGTGCATGGTACAGTGTAAACACTCAATAAACCTAGCTATTGTTATTATTAGGAAAAGTACATATATTTGTAAAGTTTTAGAGGATGGCAGTTATTCTCTCATAACTAGTGGGTAGATGATATATAAATTTAGTGATTGAAAATATAAATGTCGTGGGATAGCCTTACCACTGAATTTTTTGAGTCATGGCCAGAAGTCTTCTGCACCTGACTGTATAACAAGTAATGTTGAAGAATCTTATAAGGTCAAAATATGTGTCATGGACAGAGAGTACTTGGAAATTTATTTTTATTCTTATAACTTCCTTTTTTGGTAATAGTAAGACCAAAAAAGCATTAACCTCTGCTCGTGACCTTGACTTAAATATGTTTTTATTCCCACAAAAACACAATGTACCATTGCTACAAACCAGAAAGATCAAGAATCTCAGCTCTTTGTACTGCCTATCCATGCTGATGCTAAAATAAGCTGCTCTTGGGCAAAATAGAATGGGCCACAGACTGAGTAACATCCACGTAGGCATTAAGGTTCTGGATGTCCAAACAGAGAGTAGACTTCAGTAGAACAAGAGGAAGCAAGAAGGTCAAGTAACAAATTAATCATGAACTAAGCAAACTGAGGTTCTGGGGACTAGAAGGCAAATAATACAATGGAAGTTCACAAAGGTCAAGGAATGCAAATGTCTGGGATGCAAGTATAAGCAGAACTTCAGGACACAGAATCCCTGGAGCGCTTCTGTGACAAGACTTGCTGCAGCAACTACATAGCCTTCTGGGCCTAGAAGTGTACCATAGAGGACCCAGGCAGAGAAACCTGAATAAACTGCAGAGATTATCAGTATATCCCATTACTGGTCCCTGAGGGCAACAAAAGGCTGCTATACAAATTCCTCTAGGTGTCTTTGCTTCCAAAGGAGGTGTGGGAAAGTCCAAGGTGACATAAGGAATACCAGAAGCAGGGCCTAGGACTGAAGACAGTTGTTGGTATATTACATGGGATTAAGATTTGGGCTACAATCTCCAAGAAAGAAAAAGTGGGGGGAAATGCAGCAGGGTCAGTTTTCAACAAAAAAGTTTAGTTAGGTATGCAGATCATCTCTGTAGGATTTGGCATTGGATGCTAGAGGAGGGTAAAGCTAAAGGATTCTCTAGGACACATCAAAAGTGGGTGTAGAACAGGTGCTTATCTCCACATTTTCTCTGCTGATGGGGCACTATTCTCAATTACAGCTAATCCTGGCTGTCATGGAGGCATCTTGATTCCTTTGGAAAAATATTTTGTCTCCCTGCCATTTGCCTGTTTAACATCTGTACTTCTAACAACATTGACTTGTTCAACAATTTCCACCCTCATACATAAGATGCTAAATGAATGAATGAATTGGGCTAGGATGTTGATGAGAATGAGTCAGAAGGGTTAGTAGTGCCTGTAACTGAAGCTCTTTCCTCCTGAGAAGTGGTAACATAGAGTGGGTAGGATAGAGAAATGAATGGAAATGAAATGATATCTCTTTGGTCAATAAGGTATGTATATTTCTCTCCTCTGACCAGGATCTTAGAGATGGCTATTAGTTATAATTGGCCTAAGTGGAAGCAGACCATCCTGATAGCTGAAGAAATTTTACCTCCTTTGTTTACAAAAAACTAGAGTCTCTTGCTATGAGCAGATTTGTTTTCAATTCTTCATTGCTACTAACTCAGAAGAGAAGGGAGATTCAACTTTATGTATCTTTATACATCTTGTGTATCTATGCCACTGCAAAAATAAGTGGGTCTTTTGGGCAAAGACAAGAACAGGATATCTTGGACAAGAATAGCCTGAGACTGAATAACATCCAGGTAGACATGAAATTTTTATTAACTCATAAATCTATTTCAGGGTTAAAATGGAATCACATACATGCAAGTACTTTGAAAATAATAAAGTACTATATACATGCTCAGTTAGATTTATATCATTTGAAATAGCTAATAAATTAAAATCAAAAGTGAATATTTTTATTTGAAAATTCAGATAGGTACCTTAATTCTGCAATTCACTAAATATGTACGGACCACAGTTTCACAAACAGCTCTATTTCTAAGATTCTCTAAACACCATTTGATCCTTTTTGAAAACAAGCTTATGGACAAATAAGTTTATTTGTTATACCAACAAACTTTCAGTGGCAGACTAGATTTTGGATTGCTCTTTTTTTCTTAACCTGGAAATTTTAACTTGGCTTAAGTAACTGGAAAAAATACTTACTGTGCTTTTTGCTTTTGGGTTTTAGACTGCTGGAGAATCTTGGCACCCATATTAAATAGTTGGTCTCCTTCATCTGTGAAATTTTTCTGTGCTTGATTATTTACTATAAAAGTAGAAAAAGGAAAATGACACTATTTTTATGTTTTACCTTTTAAAAATTATGAGCTGGTATAAAAGGTTGGCATATTAGTTTGGGTTTCTCTTTACTTATTTTTAAACCTCTGCATGTTAAGATGGTTACCTTGCCTTTGATCAGAAGGTAGAGATGCCTACAAAAGTAACCTCTTCCTGTTTATTGTAAAAGGGTATGGAGGGTGGAGGAGATAAGAGAGATGCTTATGATGGTAGTATGGAAAGAGATATTCCTACCCTGGATGCAAAGTTCTGCAAGCAGAAGGCAGGAAACAAAGTCTTCCAGGGAAGGGGTTGCCTTGAATGTCATAAAAGGCAGGACATTAGACAACAGGCTCAGCAATCAGACACTCTTGTCTGAGTGTAAGTCTGAGCATATGTCTCAGAGCCATAAAATTCCAAGACAACATCAGAACCTAAGCAATAGATATCGCCAAGCTAACTGGTATGCATCTAGGATTGGAAGAGATAATGTCCCTGAAAATTTTGCTCTAAGCCTCCCTTCTTCTCCCACAGACCCAGAGAATTTTCTAGCCTGACTGAGAAATTTTGGGAATGAGCATTAGGAATAAAAGGGGGCAGAGGAGGTGTGTCAGAGCATACCTAAGACTATAAGGAAGACACATAGCTCCCATACTCTGGGTGCTCAGAGTAAATTTTATAGGATTTAATGAAAATAAATGGAATTTTACCTACTATAGTAATGATGTTTCTCAAACATTTATGTAACACTTCACAATATCCAAAACATTATCACCAGTTTACGGTTTGTGAAAACTGCTTCATGAATCAGTTTTAGTTCCTCCTTTCCTCCCACAGCACATACAACCTCCAACTTCCCCCCAACAACCCCTTCCACAATATCACAGTGCTTCTTGAAGTCCATTATGATTCTTAGCAAAATCTCTGATTATGTAAACCTGAAGTCATTTTAAAGGACTGGCAGTCCCGGATTTGATGCCTCTTTAACAAGACTACAAAGATCTTCAAATTGTTCTTATTTCTCTTCTTCGTGACAAGCTGTCACCGTTGTCTACTTTCTTTTTTAAATTATTTTTTTAACTTAAAAGCCCATTTATGATTATTTTGTATACATCAAATATTCCAATCAATATACTAACACTGATCTATATTTGGGATAGGAATTCCTCCTGTTAATGTGCTTTTAAAGAGTGAGAATACATTTTGAAAGGCTGACTCTGCATATGCATATATAATGTATATAAACACATATATAAATAATAATTTACACAATAGATATCTACACATGGCTTTTACCTTTATTTGTATTTCTTGTTTTTATTTTCAGATGACTGAAATATAAATTTTCTTTACTTATAGATGGTTTAATTATCAGATAAAACTTATGTGGCAGTACTTTTATTCCCTTTTTATGATTTATTTTTTCCCCACAGTTTGGGGAACGCACAGACAGGAAATGATTTGAGGAGGCCATTGTGAACTTGATATAATGGACTTCTCTATACAATCAAGTAGTGGATGCCTATTCTGCCCTGATAGGGGTTTTAGGTTGATTGAAAAAAGTGTTGGGGATGAACATCATCTATAAAAGAGAGCAGAGTAGGTGTACCAGAATTCTGTTTAAGATAACAGGTATGGAAAATGTTCCAACTAGATGAATTTATATTTAAGTATTTGTCAGAGACACAATTTCTGGAGAGCTCATGACATTTCATGACTTCCTCAATCTTATTTTCATTACTCCATATCTGATTTTGTTCTATTGTGGACTGGATTGTTCCCAAATGCAGATGTTGAAGTCTCAACCCCCCAATACCTCGGAATATAACCTTATTTATACATAAGCTCTTTTAAAATCCCATTAGGGTATCTTTAACATACATTAAGGCATCCTTAAAAAAAGATGAAGAGATACCAGGAGCATGGGGGTACAGAGAAAAGACTGGGCAGGGACCCAGTGAGAAGGTGTTTATCCATAAGCCAAGGAGAGAAACCTTAAAATGAAATCAACCTTACTAACACCTCAATATTGGATTTCTAGCCTCCAGAATTGTGAGAAAATAAATTTCTGCTATTTACACCACCTAGAGTGTGGTATTTTGTTATAAAAGCCCTTGCATGAATGCCAACCCTGGATAGCTTGGAAATCAAGTTTGAATTATCCACAAACTCAGCTTCTCATCAAAGCAGTGGCTATCTTCAACATGTAGGAAGGGATGTAATTTTCTGTGGGCTCCCCAAGGTCTTCAGATGCTGTCCATCTGATATTCCAGGCAGCTAATGCCTAGAAAAATGTATACATAGGCTACTTCTGACAAGAACTTTAAGTAGTCAGTATAGTCCTTCCATCTGTCCAGCAATCAATCCCTGAATGCAGTTCACCTCTATGCCTTCTCTTGCTGACTCTTTTTTCATTAATTTCCTCTGATCATGTTTATTTCTCAATCACTATCATTTTTTATTTTGGAATTTATGCAGAATCCTCTTGTTTAATAATGGTAAAAGCAATTTGTTGGAACAAAAATGGACCACTTGCTTATTTCAGATATTGAGGAGGAGAACTATAGACAACTTGTTCTCTGTAATTCATGCATTTACTTATTCATTTTCATCAGTATGAATTGAACACTTACCATGCATTAGACACAGTATTAGATATTGTATTCATAAAGATGATCAAGATGCTGTCTCAATCTGGCAAAGAGACATATATGTCTACCAAAAACTACAATGTCACAGTTTAGGCGCTGTGGAGTATAGGAGCATTCATTGTTTTTTAAGCAACAGAAAACTAATCTAATTGGCTTAAGCAAAAGGAACATATGGGGAGATTGTTGAAGACTCAAAAGAATCAGTGGGGTCAGTCAGGAACAAAGTTGTCTCTGGAAGTAGAGAGTCAGATACCACTCATGGGAGGATCTGAAATTCAATACTTTTAGGATTTTCTACTCTGCTCCAGACTCCAGGATGAGTCTGATAAGTCTATTCAGGGAAGATGAGGCTTCTCATTACCACCTATAATGATATATCAGTTGGAGAAGATCTATTCCTCCAAAGGAAATTGAGATAATGAGAAAGTAAAATGGATGCAAATGCCTACTTCAGGTACCTTTTCCTGGATAAATGAAATAAAGAGATCTTCACAGATGAAATGGCATTTTAGATAGTTCTTGAAAGCTGGGTAGGAGTTTTTCAGGCTACGAATATGAAATTGGCATTCTGTTTGGAGGAGTCTATGCAAATGAATATGGGCATAAATCAATGGCAGAGTGAGGACTTGAGTGACATGGTTGGTCATGTTGTTCAGGCTGGCAGTGGAAGTAAGTGATACTGAGGAGTGTGAATAGAGGGGTGAAGAGAAAGCAGGTGGGGAAAAAACAGAAGTGTTTGTGAAGGTGAAGTCAGATTTGGTAGGAGAAAGAAAGAAATTGGAGGAAGTCAGCTCTGATCAGAAATAATTACACTGGAGTTTGAGTTAAATAGCTCTGTACTTGGCTGATAATAGGTGAAGGAGAAATAGGATCAAATATTTTTGGTATTGAGGTGGTCAAAGAAAAAACACAAGGTCTTCAACATGGATATATGGATACCTAATCACCAGGATACTGGTGGCCTATAGTTATTGACTGATGTGGGAGAATAACAGTTCAGCCAGCCCTTTTACCTGTGTGAAGGGGCAGCCCTCCCATGCAATTTACTCTTCAAAGCCCTAAACTTCCCTGAAACCCATACCTTTGGTCAGCTGTTATCCTTGCTTATCCTGCATTCCTCATTAATTTTTATGTTCACCACAAAAGCTAAAATGTTAAATTTAAATTAAAAGTAATACAAATGAATGCTATCTAAATATCTACAAAAATAAAAGGAAAAAGAATAATATTTTGAATATAAATTATAGCTACCTCATGAGCCACATAAATGATAATTAAGCATTAAAGAAATTAAAAATTTAGGTGGATGAAAACTATCTTATAGTCTGACAAAAAATCTGGTGCTTTCAACATTAAAATGATAGATAACAAGTGATAAAAATGGGAAATTCTTTCCCTTATAGAAAATCTTGCTCACACAGAAAGATTGCATCTTTCCAATCTAACTTCAATTGTATTTAATATAAACTAACTTTAGACTTTGATTTTCTGAATAATGCATCAGGACAGCTCTTCACATTTGCCCTTAATGTGTGCCAGGAAGATACAATCCCAGATAAGAAAGGAGAATAACGATCCAGTACTAAAAATAGCATTCAGTCCTAGAAGGAATGACTCAGCAAAGAGTTTAGTAAGATAAAGATGCAATCAACTCTAATACACTTTAATAAGAGTACAGATATTCACAATAATCAAGTTTATTCAAACTGCCCCAGATCATGATTGACAAGCATAAATACCTCTAGTGGAATTGTTAGGAAATGGTAAAAAAAAAATTGTATTATAAGTAGAAAAAATTTTTCTCTGGCTATCTACACCAAGCAAACTTTGATATATTACAGGAATTATGATTAACAAAGATTTAATTTAGTACCTACCTCTCTTAATTTAAAAGAAATATGGCTTATAGAACAAGTGAAACATTAAAAAACAATGTTATGTTATAATAGGAGTTAACATTTATCAAGTACTGAATCCTCACCATAGGTGGGATATAGGCAATCTGACTCCAGTCTGTGCTCATACTGTTTCTCAGAGCTACACAGTTTGCAGAATCATTTGAGAAACAACAAAGTTACAATCAACTGATGAAAAAATTGAAGAGTTCAAAATTCTTTAAAAAGTAAATTTTATACTAATTTGTTATAAGTATTTTTAACAATGGTTTGTTTATTTTTATTAGTACTTCATTTACCTGACATTATTGAGAAATGTGTTTTGTATCATTCTCCAACCCTTTTTTTTTTTTACAGGGGAGTGTGTGAACACAGTCCCCCGCTACTACAAATTATGCAGCTGAGTGATTTGGGGAAATCGCAGGTGTCAGCACATCCGGAGTGCAATGGATAAGCCTCGCCCTGGGAAACCACCTTTGTGATCATAGTATCGCCTCTGCCAGGGAAGTATTGTATAATTTTTTCCATTAGATGAGTCGTATTTCCCTTTTTTTGGACTGTTTTCTTATGGAAATTTGTCTAAAAAGTATGTTTCTACACCTTCTCCAATAGAAGTTAATGAGCATGATTTAACCTGATCTTGATAATTCAGAGAATCATGCACACCCAACACTACCAAGTCTAACAGGTTTCAACAAGATTGGTACTTATGGGAGGCCTTTGAAAATGGGAGTCCTTCAGTAATGAGTGGAAGTGGATGGGATAAGAGAAAGATGATGACTTGCTGTACTCATGACACTGGGGGGAAAGACCGGCTGATGAAAATGTCTGGGTTGACAGCTGCAGTTGCTAATTTGTACCATCTTAGGTTATTGTTTCCCAAAAGGCATATAAAACAATTTTAAGTGGCATACACACAAACCTTACAATTTGTTAATATATTTTATATTCATGGGTAGATTCTGTTTGTCAAGTGATGTTAGCATTTCCTTAAATATTTTTTCTTCTTTTAAAAAATATTTATTTACATATTTTGTAGAAGAACTGAGGAGTAGGCCAGAGGTGGAGGGGGTGAGAGGAGCGGGGAGAAGAACAGATGGATTTACTGAAATACACTGCTAAGGGGAGCAGCGGGCAAGATAGGAGAGGTCTGCTGCGCCATATGTAGGCTAGCTCCCTGGCCAGGGATTGAACTCAGGCAGTAGGGGTGACAGCGCTCATACTTTACCCCTAGGCCACCAGGGAGGCCCCTCCTTTAAATATTTCAAACATACAAAAAATACAGCCCTTCCCCTTCACATACAAAATTTAAGTGACAGTAATATTTTGCCATTTTATTTTTGATATGTCTCTAAGTA